GGATTCGCTTCTGGCCGAGGTCAATCAGAGTTCCGAACAGAGAGTGAGATCCTAAATTTCACCAGGTCAAAAGTCAATGTTTATCTCTACCTTATCTTACTCTACATTCCTTTCCCAGGGGATCTTTTCACCTAAACTATCCCCCTTCAGACATTTAAACTTTTCTCCACCTATTTAACGATGTCTTTAATGACTTAACAACCGCATCTGGCTTTTATGGATGATAAGAAGCGATGTTGGTGTGTTGGAACACAGAATCTCTGGATCAGTGAGTTTGAAAGTAAGAATAACATTCCTATTCTAAGTGACTTATCAAAACCCGTTTGTGATTACCTAAAACAGTTCAAACAATACATGTTCACTAAAATACAGTGTAGAATCACATCTTTTTACTTCAAAATTCAAGAAATTTACTTTATTATTTCATTTCATTTTATTAGACGAAGTGTGCAGAAAGAAATGGAAGACACTGAGGGACAGGTTCAGGAAGGAGAAACAGAATGAAAAAGAGGCGAAAAGAAGCGGTGCAGGGTCTTCAGGGGGATATAAGCCCTGGCGTTTCACGGCAGTGATGAGTTTTTTAAACCCATTCATCATTGACCGTGAGACGTCCAGCAATGTCCCCTGGCAAACCCTGCCTCCATCCACCCTGGTGCCAGAGGAAGAGAGCCAGGAAAGCCAGCTAGATGACAGTCAGCCAGCCAGTCAGCCAGCCAGTCAGCCAGCCAGTCAGCCTGCAAGCAGAGGCAGGGGAGACAGGACAGGAGGAGGCGAGTGTTGAGGTCCGGGGGAAAAGGGGAAGGGAGATGTCCTCCTTCGAGAAAAGTTTGCTGTCTGCCGTCGGTCCTATTCTGTCCATGCCACCACCACCAGTGGTGGTGGAGGAGGACGAGGACCAGTTATTCTTCCGGAGCCTCTTGCCCACCATGAGACTGATGTCAAGAGCAAAGAGGGCAAGAGTGATTCACAAGGTCATTTTTGAGGCAGACCAGGAGGAAGAAAATTGATTTTTGTTTTTCACACATACTGATCCACACTACATGTTTTTACACTCATCACTCATCACACACTTCACTCACAACATTACATAAATAAAAGTATGTTATGGCTATACTGTGTCTTCACTTGTTCATGTGGTTTGTCAGTTGCAACATACCAGAAGCTTCATGTATGTCGATATATAATGTGCTGTCTTCTGTAATTGTTCATGTGAAAACCTATTGAAATTATGAGTGGTTTATCAGTAAAAACAGAGCTGAAGGAAAAAGGTTGTTAGTAATATCATAATATCAATTCAAGAAACATGTTTATTAGGAATGTTTGATTTTAAAATGGCTCATTTGGAATATTTGCTTTTTAAAGAAAATATGGGTAGCTCTTAAAAGAGCTTTTGGTTTGGAGACAATGGTGACCCTACACCACATTCGCCTGCCATGGCACTGCACCCTCCTCATTGAAATAGGAGCTGAAGGTCTCCCGCAGTTGGAGCGATCTGCGTGTGGCATTGTTGGAGCCCATCCTCGGTGCATCACGCAGGGTTGGAGTAGCTGGAGCTTCATCCGTGGACTCTGCGATAGGTGTGCGTGATTTCCTTCCTATCGTCTTCCTGCGGAGGAAGTTGTGCAACACACAGGTGGCCTTCATACACAGCTCTGTTACCTCCGGGCTGGTGGTGATGACACGCCTGAACATTCTCCACTGGGTTGAGAGGATGCCAAACGCACATTCAACCACCAACCTGGCCCGGCTGAGGCGGTAGTTGAACATCCTCCTTTCACGTGTGAGGTGACATCCAGGGAATGGACGCAGCAGGTTGTCCAGCAGCGGAAAAGCCTCATCTCCAACCAACACATGGGGAAGAAGGCCCAGCCGCTCTGCTCCTGGGATGACAGTGTCAGGTGGTAGCTGCAGACAGCTGAATGCTATGGTCCTGTATGAGTTACCGGTTGCCAGGTACCTGAGAAAAAAGTAATATACATGATTAAAAATATATATATGTCAGACCCCACACACACAGATCCCCCCCCACACAGACCACATACACATACACAGACCAGACACACACACACACACACACACACAGAGACCACACACACAAACCACAGACACACACAGACCCCCCCACACACACACAGAGAGACCACACACACAGACCACAGACACACACACACACGCCATGTACACAGGGGAGCAATACTGTGTTTACCTAGCTATCTTAATTAATGTCATCTATCTGAACTCAATCACAGACTTCATTCATCATTCATCCATGGCATGCATTCTCTCTCTTTCTATACAGAGTCATATTAAAGAAGTAGAAATACACAAAACGTACCGTAGGCAGATGGCGAGTCGCTCGGCGGGTCCGATTGACAAACGCATGAGTGTCCGCCTTTGTAATCAGTGGACCCACTTTGCCGAGCAACTCGTCGAACACGTCTTTGCTCATCCTGAAGTACTGCTGAAACAGGTGGTCATCCAGATGGAGCTCTTGGACCAGAACGTGGTATTCCCCCCGTTGCTGACGTTTTCTGAGTATCGGATGTACCCAACAGCGACGCACACTACATGGCCTCCTGCGAGACATTGCATATACTAAAGCCACCCTTGCTACTACACTTGCTACCCTTGCTACAAAACCGGCATCCATTTTGGCAATAGTGGAGAAGAACCAGGCTTTTTTGCTTTGTATGTCGGAGGCGGGAGATTCATGTGATTGGTTGTTGGTCGCGTTGCTCGCGAGAACTCCCCAAGCTTCAGACACGCCCACCGCCAAGCTTCATCGCACGCCGCTGTGTGGACGGGGCGTAACCCTTCTCTTTGCAGCTCTGCTGCATGCACGCTCTAAAGGGGCGTGGCCACAACAAGCTACATACCCAGAATCAGCACTTTAGTAACAGGGCTGAAATAGTATGAGGCATACTACAATGGGGGAGCGTGGCCACAACAAGCTACATACTCAGAATTAGCACTTTAGTAACAGGGCTGAAATAGTATGAGGCATACTACAATGGGGGATCTGTTTGGTATTTTGAGCAAAACACTTCAGAGACATGTTTTGTATAGATATGGCCCTATAATATATTGTTAAAATATAGCATTATAGGTGAGCTTTAAGTAAAAAGTACCCATAACTACCAACTGTTTTATAGAGTAACTGACTTCACTTTATATTAATAGAACATGAAATATTCTATTTCAATTTGTAATAATGTTATAATGTGTGTGTGTGTTTGTCTATTTGTGTCTGAGTGTGTCTGTTTGTGTGTGCAGAATGACAGAGACAGCTAGTGATGGCATGATTGCTTTCGAAAACCCCACATTATAGCTGTCAGTCGCCGACACCTTCTTACAGAGGACAGGCAAATCTAGCTGCAGCTTGACCCGTATATTTTCGCACGCCGTGTTCTCAACACATATTTTTTTAACATTTTTAACATTTTCAACATCGTGGATACATCCTTATATGCTCCCGGCAACACACTGAACGTCAACTTTGCCTCCTTATTACACTCACCCCTACTTTAGTGGGAACACTGAGTCTGCGTCTTTGATGCACACAGGAATAAACGCAGATCATACTCTGGCTGCAGCCTTGACCGGCACTTGCTTTTGATCAAAGTCAATGCGGAAAACCCGCACTCACACAGGTAGGTGGAGGTGAAGGGAATGAGCACTTTTACAGCCTTTTTGGCGAGGTGGGGGAACTCGGTCTCCACAGACAGCCACAAGTGGGCAAGTGTCACTTTACTCATCTTTTTCTCGTTATTTTTTGTCTCACGCTGCGCCTCCCCTGAAGCTCTCTGGCGCCCCCCAGGGGAGGCGCGCCTCACACTTTGAAACCCGCTGACCTAGACGACCTCATAGTCATGGCTGGGTCCCGGGAACAGGCAATGTTTTGCACAGCACAATTGATCACACACCTAACCAAATTAGGCTTTGCGATCAATTGGAGAAAGAGCACCCCCATACCTCACCAACAGGCGTTGTATTTGGGAGTGGTGCTTGATGCAGACGCGCTACGCGCCACCCTGTCAGAGAGCAGACGTGCGTCCCTTCTCCGGCCGGTGCACAGGCTGCGACAGGGGGCAACTGTGACAGCTTTAACTGTCACAGCTGGGTCTCATGGCGGCTGTTCACATTGTGGTCCCGCTGGGGTTACTACATGGTGGTTCTCCAGTCTGCGTTTGGATCCCAAGAGGCAGAAACGGCAGTTGGTGACCATCCCCCCCTCAGTGGAGGGCAACCTCCGGTTTTGGGGGTCCCCGGATCACGGGACGGGTGACCTCCTACATCACAGTGTTCACGGACGCATCCAGAACAGGATGGGGAGGGACCTGCCTGAAAAGGGCTATAGGTGGGCGCTGGTCTCTAACAGAAACACGACACAGCAACCTCCTAGAGCTACGGGCGGTAGTGTTAGTCCTCCAGCATTTCATGCCCCTAATTCAAGGGAGACATGTAATGGTCAGGAGCGACAACAGCACCACAGTGGCTTATATCAACAGGCAGGGCGGAGTCCGCTCTGCCGCCTTGTTGACCACAGCGGAGAAACTGTGGTTATGGGCTTCAGAGGTTAATGAGTTTGTCTTACTGTTTTGCCAGTATCCTAAAATGTAAAAAGAAAAACAAGTTCATGCATGCTTTGTAACACATTATAAAGTAAAGACTTAATCATTCTGAACTAACCTGAATATTTTGAGGATTTCAAGGATTTGTCGAGGTGTAGAGGAGGATGATATTTGTTCATTAATTCTCCATTTAAGTCTACTTTCTAGCACCAGCAGAATATCTCTCTTTCTTCTGTTTCTACAAAAATGAATATTGCTGGTGTTACCTTGCCTGCAAACCTTATTTCCCCACAGTGAGACATTAAGGGCTGAAGGGAAGTTACGGCAGAGGATTTTATTTGCATTTATAAAGCCTGTCATGTAATTGTGAAACAATAATGAAACAGTGGTGCAGTGGTTTTTTATTACCTGTCCTTGTGTTTGCACCAGAGGCAGGACGGCCTCATGCAGCGCTCCATCCGAGAGGTGAACACCTCCAGCCGCTGGTGTGTGCTATGGGACCTGGACGAGGACACATACTACAGCGTGCAAGTGAGGGGGGCACGCACACACACACACCACACACACACACACACACACACACACACACACACACACACACACACACACACACACACACACACTCCAATTAAATTCAAAGATGTTATTGTCATATGCCCATAGCTAGAGTGTAGAAATGGCAATGAAATTCTTCTGACCTGAGCTCTTCCAACAATGCAACATGTATAATAAAATACAAAAATTAAAAATTAAAAATTGTGCAAAAAGTCTATATACATGTAAATAGAATATGATATGTACAAGAACAGAATATGAAATTAAATAATGTATATTAAGCCAAAATTAAATATGGCATCACACACATGCCTGCAGTGCATGTAGTTGTGATAGATTTGTTATTATTCTTTAAAAAGCAGATATTTAGGTAAAATGAGCATAAATACCAGATTCTTTGTTAATAGTTCACCATATAGCAAGTCATAAAAATCATAAATATTGGCATTAATAAAGAAACATAGGCCTTTTAGTACTTCACTTTTATACTTCTTAACTCCCTCTCGCTGTTTAATTAACATAACTCATCAAACTCTTTATACAGCTCAGAGATTCCTAAATTAAAGCCAGTCCTCCTTTCTAAATGAGAAGTATCTACTGAGACTCCATTATCATGACTCTATTAAACTTTTTATAATCCATTACAGCTTAATAGACTGACGCCGATTGTCCTTCAGCTGAGGACTCGGTTAAATGTGCTCGTCAGCATGCAGCCATCCTGCAGAAGTGTCATTGAACAATCCCCGATGGCTCGCTAGCACCTATGATCTTCCCTCAGAGGACGGTAAAATGTTCCCAATGGAGTTTGGTGGAGCTTCATCATCAGTAGGGATTTTTTTTTGTAATCTAAAGGACAGTTCAAACTTGCATTTCCTTTCTTTTTTTGGATACTTAATCCTTATCCAATTACTTATTTTGTGTTTTACTTCTGCTTTGAACCCCCATGTGCCTTGAAATGTTCCTCAAATGTCTTTCAAAATAAAACGTGTTGTCTTTAACCTTTGGGTTTATTGTTTGATAGGCACAGAAACACCCCTTTCTGTGTAAATGTGCCTCTGTGATGGATTTCTCTCCTTGTATACTTAATATTGAATACAATCAAACTCCACCGCAGTTGCCAGATACATCTTAATGTTCAAATTTGAATGAGACACACGCCGACAACCTTGTTTATTCCTTGCTTCATCATTTAGCCTTATTTGTTGAAAATGAGTCCCCAAATGAGTGATTAGCTCAAATCTATATTCACTCTTTTATCTTCTCTATATAACCTCTACACTCACAGTGCTGCTAGTCCTCCAACAATCACTCAGGATCCCAGCCAAAAAAATCAAAGCACCATTTGCTGCTCGCTAAATATACCCTCACAAGCCAGTTTCTGCTCAGCGTTACTGTTAAGTCCGGGATGAGGAAAAGCAAAACACACCAGTTGAAATTGGTAATAATTATAAGGAGTTTATTAAAGGTCCCATGTCATGTTTTTCCGGTTATTACCCGTCCCCTTGTGTGTTATGAAGGTTTTTCTGCATGTAAACGGTCTGCAAAGTCAAAAACCCTCAAAGTACACCCTGTAGCGAGTAAAACTCTAACACAGAAAAGACCTGTCTATGCTGCCCCAAAACGCCTCGTTGGAGATTTTTATTTTTCCATTGTTTTCTTCCTGGGTATGGTGACGTGCCCATACCCAAATGGACCAATCCGTGGAGCCGTTACGTTAAGTCCGTGGATTGGTCCAAATTGACCAATCCGCGGACTTCCTCACACACACACTCAATCTTTTCTTAGCTGCAGCTCCGCCGATTTCTCCTCCCTGAGACGGCGGGACGCGGCGAGGCTGTGAGTCGGTGTGTGAGCACACACACAAACTCCCAGCCAGGCTGCGGGTGTGTGTGTGTGCTCGGGCTGGTTTCGCTGTGTCTCGCTGTCTCGCAGACGGCCACTGGGCTCATAAGGAGGGGGGGTCAGGAGCTCCAACAAGCCGTTTAGGTCAGAGAGTGAATACACATACTTTACAGAGATGCTGTATGAGAAACCAATGTGAGTTTGGAAAATTGCACAATATAAATCTATTTTAGTATACCTCAACAATGGAATTATGATCAGTAGAAATGGCCATGACATGAGACCTTTAAATAATGATGTAAGAAAATGGAAGGCAAGCAGCCTGGAGCAAACAAAAAGGCCAAAAGGCGCAGGTTTAAATGAGCAACCAACAAAAGGAGGACTCTAATAAGGGAGTTAAATACAAAGAAATAGATACTAACAAACAAAATAGCAACAAAACAACCCTCACTATCAAAGTGGTACAAACTAACAAAAGGAGGCTGTAAGAAAAACACAGCTATACTAAAGGACGACCAGGAGATGAGTAGCCAATTACATCAGGGCAACCGCACAGCTCATTTACATATAACACAGGCAAAACAGAGTTAACAGGACAGGGGAGGTGGCGGCCGTAACAGTTACATAATGTCATCCTCTGTTAATGTGAGCAGGGAATGGGAAATAACTGCACTTCTGTGAACAAATGAGGAGTACTGTAAAGATGCTTAAAATAAACTCTATATTCTTTGGGGGTCTCTAGGTGCAGTCTGTTGGGCCGCATGCTGACAGCCAGCCTAGCCGAGCCGTCCACTTCAGGACTCTGGAGAGGAACGACCACTATCCAGCCGGAGTCCTCGACCAGCGTAATTAAATAAATAAATAAACACACACACACACACACACTCTCAAAGTGCACCAGATTGATGCTTTTATCTTCAATATTTAAAAAAAAATCTTCCCAGGGGAGCTTGCCCCCGGACCCCCCTAGAGGAGGTTAGGTCCACGGTGTTTACATGCTTATTTATACAATATGTGTGCTTATGCTAACATCATAAGACAAAAGTTGGTTCCGTGTTGTGTGTAGTGAGAACGCGCTAGAGTGAGGGGGGCCCCCAAGCCAAAGCTCGCTTAGGGCCCCCAAAAGTCTAGGGCCGGCCCTGCACACACACACACACACACACACACACACACACACACACACACACACAGCCGGCCCGACCCATTAAGCGGCCGCTTAGGGCCCCCCTAGCAACAAAAAAAAAATGAAAAAAAAAATCTCAGTACACCGTCGCCGTGATAAGTATGTTTAATTAATTGTGTTAATATGCCTAGATTGCCTACTCTCAAAGTCATGTATTATATTATTGAGTCAATAATATAATACATTGACCGTGCTTTACCTGAACCTCATCATGACACTAGAGAGGACGGCAGGATTGTAATTTCCCGTGTTCAGTGAATGCAACAGAGGCAAGACACCAGACCAACCAGAGAGTTGAATAGAGTGGCGAAGTCACGCCCATCTACTTACGGTCCATGGGACCTTATTTTGGAAAAATTATGCATTGAAGTCAATGGGGAGAGAAAACTTATCTTTCGATCCCGTTTGAATTGTGCCATGAATTACACATATGATGTTTGTCTATGGAGCTAATTTCCTGCCATAACTCCACAAACAAACTAAACAGGTTTTACTAATGCCTCATGATTCACTAACAAACACAATGTGGTTTGCAAACACAAAACACCATCTACAAACTAATGCATTTAGTTTTGCAAAGAAAAAACGTGTCTATCAAATAAACACATACCATTTTTCTAATAAATCATGTTTCAGAGACAAATTCAGCATAGGTTTTACAAGTACACAAATTTTTTTTACAAGTACAACACTTCTGTTTACAAGTACAAATCTTGTTTTTACAACTACAACACTTTTTTTTACAGGTAAAAACTTTTTCTTCTCACGGCGGAATATTACTGCCAAAAGTCACGTGACTCACTCACGTGACTTTTGGCAGTAATATTCCGCCGTGGTTGTGCTCATACACATTCACACATGCTCACTCACACATGCTCCACGGCAGCAGGGGGCACTACTGAGTCCATTGGGAAGGCGGGAGGTTGAGCAGAGAATGGAACAGCCCTTGCCAGCCTGATGACAGCGGTGTTTCTCGCGATCCAGCGATCTGAATTTAGCGATCACAACGAAAACAGCCAAGACACATATTGAGCCCAGAAAATGAATGTTCTTAGGGCTGTAAATATAATAAGCCTTTGTCTAAAATGGACAACATTGTAACTAAGGAGATTTAAACTATACAGCGATTCTGCACTCGGTCAATCAGCTGCTCTTCATTTTCTTTCCTGCTATATTCAATGAGTGATACAAATATGTTTTACCATACGTTCTGAATAAAACTGATACTGTTGGACTCGGTACTAGTTGACTGCTACCAGAAATAAAAGGAAGTACTTTACTGTGTACTTTGTGAGTAATCCTCTGTCAGAGTCCCCTCCATAGTACATAATGCATGTTTTTTGCTATCTTTGATGAATGATAAAAATAAAATGTTACCATTAGTTCTTAATGAAATTGATACGGGTTGACTTTGTATTAGTAAGCCTACTACTAACAATACATTGAAGTACTTTTACTGTGTATTTTTTGAGAAATACTCTGTCAAAGTCACCTGCTGAGAACAAAATCAAGCCACTTCTGCTAAGTTTGATGAGGGAATTCTTTTTTGTTGCCATTAGTTCTTCGTGAGATTGATCCTGTTGGACTCAGTACTACTGAAACTACCCCCACAAGTACTATGAAGTACTTATTGTGTACTTTTCCAGTAATCCTCTGTCAATGTCCCCTCCTGAGTACAATAATGCATGTGTTTCTTTTGATAAGCGTTAAAAACCTTTTTTAATAATTTACTATAATTTAGAAAGGTTTTTGTGAGAAATCATTTCAAAAGTAAACTTATTTTTCATTTTATATTTCAATTTGAAATGTTTGCACACAACATTATTAATTTATACATTTTTATAAACATTTTAAATTATGAATCCATTAATTTTATTGTATTTCCTTGAGGCTGGGGAAGATATCCAGCATGTGGTTCAACATGTAATACAAGTATATGTACAACATGGAAAAGTTTAATAGGAGGATGTGGATTTCTTTTCTCTCACCTTGTAATTACACAATCAAACAATCTATAATTTAGCTCTGACCTTCACAAAAACATTTTGTTGAATTGGACATATTTTTCCAAGCTCTATTGACAGACATGCAATGACTGGGACTGATGGAAGAATCTGAGAGGAATGAACTAGGAGCAGAGAAATAATCATATTTAAAAGACAGCAGCCCCATAAGAGGCCAACAAGAGTCACAAGGCAAGGCAAGGCAAGGCAAGGCAAGTTTATTTATATAGCACCTTTCAACACAAGGTAATTCAAAGTGCTTTACAAAAATGGAAGACATTTTAAAAATGGCATTTAAAATCAGTCATTAAAAAGGAAAGATAATAAAATAAACATTAAAAGAAAAAATACATGAATAAAAGTTAAAAGTTACAGTGCAGTTTAAGATGTGAATAGTTCAATTAAAAGCAGCGGCAAAAAGAAAAGTCTTCAGCCTGGATTTAAAACTAGTAAGAGTTGCAGCGGACCTGCAGGTTTCTGGGAGTTTGTTCCAGATATTCGGAGCATAATAACTGAATGCTGCTTTACCATGTTTAGTTGTGACTCTGGGGACAGAAAGCTGACCAGTCCCTGAAGACCTGAGGGTTCTGGATGGTTCATAATTTAGCAGTAGGTCAGACATGTATTTTGGGCCTAAACCATTCAAAGCTTTATAAACCAGCAACAATATTTTGAAATCTATTCTTTGACACACAGGAAGCCAGTGTAAAGACTTCAGAACAGGAGTGATGTGATCCACTTTCTTAGTGTTAGTGAGGACTCGAGCAGCGGCGTTCTGAATTAGCTGCAGCTTTCTAATAGATTTTTTAGTGAGGCCTGTAAAGACACCATTGCAGTAGTCGAGTCTACTGAAGATAAAAGCATGGACAAGTTTTTCCAAATCCTGCTGTGACATTAGTCCTTTAATCCTAGATATGTTCTTTAGGTGATAGTAGGCTGATTTAGTAACTGTTTTAATGTGACTGTTGAAACTCAGGTCAGAGTCCATGACTACACCTAGATTTCTGGCTTTATCTGTTGTTTTGAACATTGCAGACTGAAGCTCAGCGCTAACTTTTATACGTTCTGCCTTGGCTCCAAAAACCATTACCTCAGTTTTATCTTTGTTTAATTGGAGAAAGTTCTGACACATCCAGTCATTGATTTGTTCAATGCACTTACTCAGTGTTTGAATTGGAGCATAATCTCCTGGTGAAATTGTTACGTAAATTTGTGTGTCATCCGCATAGCTATGGTAACTTATTTTGTTGTTTTTCATTATCTGAGCCAGTGGTAGCATGTAGATGTTAAAGAGAAGAGGCCCCAAGATGGAGCCTTGAGGTACCCCACATGTCATATTTGTCAACTCAGATGTGTATTTACCTATAGAAATAAAGTTTTTTCTGTCCTTTAAGTAGGACTCAAACCAATTTAGAACTGTTGCCGAAAGTCCCACCCAGTTTTCTAGTCGGTCTAGTAATATGTTGTGGTCAACAGTGTCAAATGCAGCACTGAGATCTAATAATACTAACACTGAAGTTCTGCCACTGTCTGTGTTTAAGTGGATGTCATTGAAGACCTTTACAAGAGCAGTCTCAGTGCTGTGGTTTGGACGAAATCCTGACTGGAACACATCCAAACAGTTATTTAAATGCAAGAAGTTACTCAACTGTTGAAATACTACTTTTTCAATGATTTTACCTAGAAATGGCAGGTTTGATATTGGCCTGTAATTGTTCATTACTGAGGCATCTAGATTATTCTTTTTTAAGAGCGGTTTAATGACTGCAGTTTTCAGGGCCTCTGGAAAAATACCTGAGTGAAGAGATGTGTTTACTATATGAAGTAGATCTGAGGCCATGCAAGGAAAAACATCCTTGAAAAATCCTGTTGGAATAATATCAAGGCAGCAGGAGGAGGATTTCAGAAGTTGAATAATGTCCTCTAAGTTTTTACCATTAATCTGATGGAATTGTGTCATGGTGTTTGAATTGATATTAGGTGGACATAGGGACAAAACATTTGCTGTACCTGATGTAGAGGCACTGACTGCTTGTCTAATTTTCTGAATTTTGTCAGTGAAGAAGGAGGCAAAATCATTGCACGCCCTGGTGGATAGAAATTCAGAGGCTACTGACACTGGGGGGTTAGTTAGTCTGTCGACGGTAGCAAACAAGGCACGTGCGTTGTTTTTGTTTTTGGTAATGATGTCAGAGAAGAAAGACTGTCGTGCGTTTTTCAATTCCAAATTATAAAGGCCAAGTCTCTCTTTATAGATTTCAAAGTGAACCTGGAGATTTGTTTTTCGCCACCTACGTTCAGCTTTTCGACACTCTCTTTTTTCTGTTCTCACGGTCATGGCCTTTCTCCATGGAGATATTTTCTTGCTAATCACTTCCTTTACCTTAGTTGGAGCAATGGTATCTATAACATTTTTAATTTTTGAATTAAAATGATCTACTAGCTCATTTACTGAGATGTTAGCAGGGGCAAGTGTGGATGAGAAATTCTGAGTAAACATTTCCCTAGTATTTTCAGTTAAATATCGCTTTGTGGTTACCTCTTTCTGAACATTTTTGTGAACAGAAATAGAGCTCTCAAAGAAAACACAGGAATGATCAGAGAGTGCAACATCAGTCACCACAACCTTTGAGATATTCAGACCCTTTGAGATAATTAA